TCTCCTGCCCTGTCGGAGCATAACTCTCAGCCTCCTCTCTCTCTCCCAGTAAATCCCTCTTCTATCCCTTCGCCTCCTTCTAAACTATCTACTAACCAGGAACTTCAACCTCATTCCTCAACTAGTCTTGAATCCACCAATGATACTTCTCAAATTAACCATCTCAAGACTATAGCATCTTCTTTTAATTCGTTACTTCAAAGCCTTATTTTTTCCACTGATAACATTAGCATGCAATCACAACTTTCAGCTATTTCAATTCAACTTAATTCAATTATATCTTCCTTATCCCCTGAACTATCTTTTAGTTCTCTTTAAATTTTTTTTGGGCTGACGTTATTAGTATGTCTGACAAACAATTTTCGATTATTCAGTGGAATTGTAGATCTATTAGGGCCAGAGAGTGTGACCTATTCAATTTTATTGAAGAAATAGATAACCTGCCCATTTTCATTTGCTTAAGTGAAACATGGCTGTCGGATGTCTCTAAAATAACTTTTACTAATTACAACATTATATCCGCCAACAGATCTCGAGTCGGCGGTGGTAGTGCCATATTAATCAGAAAAGATGTCAGCTTCCTTAAGATTGAATTTATGGATTCATTCCTAGTTCGTAATGCTCATATGCGCTTGGAAACTGACATTTGTGGAATCAGATTTAACTGTGCGGGTAAAACTTTCCACTTATTTTCAATATATAATCCTCCTCTGTCCTCGAATTGCACTTCTTCAGCCACTCGTGATATTTGGATAAATCTTATAAATCATTTAGAAACATATCATAATGTCATTATCTGCGGGGATATGAACGCTTTACACGGCTCTTGGAGTTATTCAACTCTTCATCCAAATACCATGGGCAATGTCATCTATGATGCTATCACTAATTCTGATTTCATTATCATGAATGATGGTTCCCCTACCTGGTCATCCTTGGACGGCGGCTCTTGTAGCTCCCCAGATTTGTCCATAATTTCTCACTCGCTGGCGACTATGCTTGAATGGCATGTATTCGATAACAAACATGGTAGTGACCATTTTCCTATTCACATTTTGTTTAATCTCACATTTCCTGATAAAATACTCTGTAGACCACATTATGTTACCTCAAAAATTAATTGGCACATGTTTTCAGATAGACTGGATGAAATTTCGGCTCCTCTCCGTAAGGATATTTCTTCACATGTAAATATTATCAATCCCCTGGCCTCATATGAGGAACTTATTAAACATATTAACGCATCTCTTCTGTATGCTGGTGCTAAACAGGCGCGGCATTCTGGAATGGCCAGAAGACCCCCATCATGTTGGTGGGATAACCAATGTACCAACATTGTTAAGGCTAAGATCGAAGCGTACAAATTATTTAAAAAATTCCCCAACTCTAAGAACTTAAAAAATTATCATAAAATATGTAAAAGTACTAAAAATAACCTGCGTAAAATTAGGAATACTAGGTTTCGAGAGTTTTGTTCTTCGCTTGACATAAATTCCGACCCTAGAGTAGTCTGGCGCACCATCAAATCTTTTCAGAGGAATAAGCAGGCCTCCTTTTATAATTCAGAATTCTCTGAACACAATCTCTCAAATATAAAGGACACTTTTCGGAATGTGGTTTCTTCTATTTCCCTGTCGCCAGTCACCACACAGTTTTACTTCAAATTTTCGAATCCCAGAACCAGCTCTGCGGCGCGTCGCGTTTTGCCGACCGCAATTGGTCCTCTTGATTTTCTCACTAATGAAATTAATGCTTCTGAATTTAATACTAATCTCAAATATATGTGTAAAAAGAAAACGGCTCCCGGACATGACCAATTAACGTGGGAGATTATCAAACATTTCTCTCCTTCTGTTCTCTGTTACATCAGACATTTTTTTAATGCTTTCTTTATTGCTGGTAATATTCTAAATTCTTGGAAAAAATTTCTAATGGTCTTCATCCCAAAGCCTAATGGCTCAGGATTTAGGCCAATATCACTTGCCTGCAATCTCATGAAGTTATTCGAGAAGATCCTACAGGGAAGGCTTGAGTGGTGGACGGAACGATTTGATATCCTCCCCAC